CCGCAGGCAGGTAGCACAAACACTGAGAAAGTTCTGCTACTATCTGCCCGCAGGCAGGTAGAACAAACACTGAGAAAGTTCTGCTACTATCTGCCGCTAAATGACCACTGCTGCCCTGGTGTACGGTGAGGCACCTCAACCGCGCTGAGCCGCGCGAGCACAGCTGTGCTCGATGTGAAACTTCTTGTCACAGCTAAACAGCACAATATTTTTTTCTCATGGCCTAATTATGGCAAAGGGATATTACCGCTCTTCTTCCTAGGGCCTACACCCAGAAGCCAAGAGACCCCAACACCAGTCAACCTGCGCAGAGAAAGCCTCACCCCTGCTTCTGAGTGCATTAAACCACAAGCACGTGGACTAGCAGGGCCACCCAGTGTGCTTCTGGTGAAAGCTACCGCCAGGCCTTGGAGCAGCCTAGGTCCTCTGCTTAGGGGCAGCAGTGGAGCCTGCTGGGGAGCCTGATGGTGGGGGGGCCGAAACAAAGAGTATCGAAGCTGAAAGTGGGCTTGCTGGCAAGTATGCCTACAACTGCGCATGAACTATGCCCCGTGACTTTACATCTACAGTTCATCACGGCATACGCCAAGCAGCCCAGCCTCACCACCTTTGTTCTGCTGGTTCCAGGATTTAGGCTCGGCACTTCTGTGGCTGTTTTGCTCACAGCTGGTGTTCTCCCACTTGATTCATTCTTCCAGCTTGACTTTTTGCTGGTTATTTGGAGATGAGTCTTTGTAAACATTTTTGTTGGGGCTGGCTCCAAACTGTGCTCCTCTAGGCCTGAATCTCTTAAGTAGCTAAATTACAGGTATGAGCCATCAGTGCTGGCTATATGTCTTCTTTGGGTAGCTAAATTTGCACCTTCTTCAAGTTTCAGGCTCAAGGTAGGTTCCTTAAACCAAGTACTGAGCAACTCTGCTTTAAAAAAGGTCAGATTTGACAGGCGCACGTGGCTCATGCTACTAGTTACTCAGATGTCTGAGATCTGAGGATCACTGTTCAAAGCCAGCCTGGGCAGGATTATCTCCAATTAACCACCAGGAAAACCAGAAGTGGCGTTGTGGCTCAAGTGGTAGAGTGCTTGCCTTGAGCTGAAGAGCTCAGGAACAGTGCCCAGGCCCAGAGTTCAAGCCCCATGACTGACAGGAATAAAAAAAAAGAAAAAGAAAAAAAAATGTCAGATTTGAGGCCAGGTGCCTAATACCAGCCACTATGAGCTGAGATTTGAGGATCTCAGTTCTAAGTCAACCAGAGCAGGAAAGTCTGTGAAGGAGGAGGTAACAACACTCAATAGGAAATGTACTCATTACCTTATTCATGTAACTGTAACCCCTCTGTACAGTATTTTTACAATAAAAAATATATACAAAAAAAAGTTTGGGGCTGGGAAGGTGGCTCAGTGGTAGAGTGCTTGCCTTGCATGCATGATGCCCTGGGTTCAATTCCTCAGCACCACATAAGCAGAAAAAGCCGGAAGTGGTGCTGTGCTCAAGTGGTAGAGCGCTAGCCTTGAGCTGAAGAGCTGAGGGACAGCGCCCAGGCCCAGAGTTCAAGCCCCACAACCACCCAAAAAAAAAAAAAAAGTTTGTGAGGCTTTTGTCAGTTGTGAGGCTTCAACTCAGGGCTTGGGTACTGCCCCTGAGCCTCTTTGTGCTCAAGTAAGTCTAGTGCTCTACCACCTGAGCCAGTGTCACTTCTGGCTTTTGAGTGGTTAATTGGAGATGAGAATCTCATGGGAACTTTTCTGCCTGGGCTGACTTCCTCTGTTCTCAGCCTCCTGAGTAGCTAGGATTATAGGTGTGAGCCACCAGTGCCTGGCTTGAGACTCTTATCTCCAATTAAGCACCAAAACAGCTAGAAGTGCAGCCGTGGTTCAAATGGTAGAGCACCAGCCTTGGGGGGGGAGGGGGGAGGGGAGAGCTCATGGTCAGAGCTCATTGCTCAGTTCAATCCCTAGGACCAGCACCAGCACCAAAAGAAAGAGAAAAGGTCAGATTTGTTTCTTCAACTCTAGTCTGAATGCCTGTGCTTGTATTTATTCCAGGCACCAGGCAGTATAAGAAGGCAAGCCCACACTTCTGGAAACCGATCTCCTAGGAGTGCTGTAGTTCAGACAAGGCCAGGACACAGGCCTCTGGGGAGAACAAGGTCTGTGGGGATGCAGACGCAGGTCTTGGAAAGCACATGCATGCGCAGTGCCCGAGCACTGCAGGCCTCTGCAGAGGGGGCTCAGTGCGGGACCAAGCCTGGGGAGACCCGGGGAGCTGGCCCCGTGCAGGGGACACTGGGCTTGCTGTGGAGGCAGGGAAGCAGGACGGGAACTGGCAAGGAAGAGGGGGAAAAGCCTCGAGGGCAGAGCAGCTTCTTACCCTTGCACAGATGATTACAGAAGGAAAAGGCAGGGAGGGCACTGCTCATTCTGTACCAAACGTCACCCCATCAGAACACTGTCAAGGACCTACAGAACACAGGAATGACGCCTACACACTTTTGAAAGATAATAGACCATGAGGCTAAAAAACCCAGAGAACCAAAAGAGTGGGCAGAGGCCGTGGTGGGTGCTGAGGGCCTGCGGAAGGTGAAGCTGGCCCAGAAGGTGGCCCCCAGCACCAGTGTTCTTCAGGCAAAACCCTAAGAGTGTCTGTAGCAGACTGAGCCAAGATGGTGCCGCCCCACCCCCAGAAGGGAGCGAGGCAGAGCTCAGAGCCTTGCACAGTGTTTGGGGATTAGAAAACAATAAAAAAAGCCCACATCTTTAAAGTTATAATTTATAGAATATTTCGTACAAAATCAGTCCTTCAAAAGGGACCTCTGCCAGTCTCAGAAGAAGTCTGCAGCCCTGGGCCTCCTCTTTGGTGTGGCAGCCAGTGGCATCTTGGTGACCAGAGGGGTGATGGTAGGTGAGCTGGTTGGGGTCTTCAACACTCCATGGATGGGTCTTTGCTCAGGGTCAAAGGCTACCCGGGCAGGGCCAGTGGGGCTGACCAGGATGCTCTTGTCTGTCTTCTTAAATTCTGCACCAGAGGAAAGTAAGGTCCGGTTAACTGAGGTCTATCCCTGACCAATGCCTTGAGTTCCATGGCTCCCTCCCCACTCCTGGGGATATGAAGGCAGTGTGGCTGCTTTCCCACCAGGGATGAAGGGATGTCTAGATTGAGGTCTAGGTCGTCCTGGAATGACCATGGGTGACTGTCCTGGAAGACGTGCAGCTGCGGTGCTGGACCCGTCCTCTACCAGGAGGGTCCGCCCGTGCTTCTGGTTGCACGTAACAGGCTGATTAACCAAGGCAGGCTGGCCCTTCAGTCCTGCACACACCCTCTGTTCTCTCAGTGTGCACACAGGCAGGCAGGCAGGCAGGCACACTTATTTTTGGCTCCCAAGAGACAGGTCTTTATAACTCAATATGAATTTTATCTCCAATTAACCACTAAAAAGCTGCAAATGCAGCTGTGGCTCCAGTGGTAGACCACTAGCTTTGAGCCAAACACTCAGGAAGAGCGCCTAGGCCCTGAGTTTAAGCCAAGGACTGGCAAAAACAAAGAGCACTAAAACCTTCAAATATTGCACGACTATAAAAGCAGTAAAGCAGGATGGCCTCTCAGGAAGCCCACAGTCCTGAACTTAGCAGGAGCAATTGGGCTCTGGTGGGCTGTGTTGATGAGTTAGGGAGGTGCTCAGGGAAATGGCTTCTGCCCTAGAAGGTGACCTCGGGAGTCCCAAGAAACCGAAACCTGGCCTTGGTCCTTGACATCCTGCGGTGAGGGTGGCAGATTGCTGGGCGGCCGTAAGCCAGCCAAGGCTGTGTGGACATTTCCCTAGAAGCACACAGACTCACTCACCTGTTGTCATGTTTCTGTTCAGTCCGAAGGTGACTTTCTTGGAGCTGGTGGGTGTTTTGCTCAGCTGCAGAAGGAAGGTAGCAATAGCAGTTTATGGTAAGCAGGTGTGGGGCTTGCTTGTCTGGGGATCTTTCCAGAGCTCTCGCCCAGATGGGGTCCCTGGTCTTTGTTTATTAATCTGGACACATAGGTATATGCTGGCCAAGGAGACGTGTACCATGGCCTAAGTTAAATCCCTTGACCCTGGGTCTCCACTAGGACCTGACAGCAGATTTCTCTGGCCTATGGGTACCTTGATGGCCATAGGGCTGCATTCCAAGAAGTAAAACAAGATGGAGGAGGAAGCCTGGACACCCCCACCCCCATCCCATTCACCACTAAGAAACCGCAAGGCCAGATAACTCATTTTCTCCAGAATTTATTATTTTTTTTTGGCGGGGGACCAGTTCTGGGGATTGAACTCAGGGCCTGGGCAATGTCTCTGAGCTTCTTTTTTTGCTCAAGGCTAGCATGCTACCACTTGAGTCATAGTGCCGCTTCCTGCCTTTTCTGTTTATGTGGTACTGACGAATCAAACCCAGGGCTTTATGCATGCTAGGCAAGCACTCTATCACATGGCCACCTTCCCAGGCCCACAATTTATACATTTTAACCTGGAGAACACTAGATACACTGATTAGATATCCTACAACAAACCATTTCCAACAGCCCCTCAAAGTCAAGTTATATTCTTGCCACTTGGAAGGGTCCCCAAATGGGTTCCTTGTGCACTATGAAAGCACTGGCTGAGAGGTTATGAACATGCCTGTGTGAGAATCAACCCGACTTCTACTTCTTCCACTTCACGTCAATACCACACAGACTCCTGGGAGGAGGCTGGCTTTACAAGCCCAGGTCACAGCCAGGGATGCAGCTTCTGTGCAGTCGGAGGAACCCTCCCCAGGGACAGAGGGAGGGGTGCAGGCCTGCAGAGGCACCGCCTTACCCCAGGGAGGGTGCGCTGTGGCGTGCATTCCTGGACAGCAGGACTTGGGGACCAAGTGGCAGAGCTGTTCTTCATTTTTCTGAAGAACAGGGGCTTTGGTAAGCAGGAGACCTCGAACTTCACAAAGTCATTCTCTGTCCTCAGCGGCTTCTTCTTCAAATGATCCAAAGCCCTGCTGCTTCCCTGCGGGTGCGAGAGAAGTTGAGGGAGAGGGAAAATTTCCTCCGCGGCCCTGTCAAGCTCACAAAGGCAGGCAGAGACTCACGATGGTGACAGGGAAGCCACTGGAGGCAGACCACTCCCTTGCCCAAGCCCAGTCTGTGCTTTTTGTGCTAGGCCAGCACCAAGACCCTGTCTGCTCAGCACAAAACACTCCAGGCTTCCGGTCCGGGGAGACTTCACCTCAGGGCACTCCACCCAACAGTAGTGACACCCTCTCCCGTATGTACCTCCAGCTTCACAGACAGGCCCCATGGCCTCAATAACTCCGCTTTTCTTTTTTAACTGGTTGGTCATGGGGCTTGAACTCTGTGCCTGGGCCCTGTCCTGAGCTCTTCAGCTCAAGGGGAATGCTCTACCACTTGCGCCACAGCACCACTTCTGGTTTTCTAAGAGGCTCATGGCCTTCCATGCTCGGGCTGGCTTTGAACCAAAATCCTCAGATCTCAGCCTCTTGAGTAGCTAAGATTACAGGTGTGAGCCACTGGTACCGACTTAACTCTGCTTTTCTAAGTCCACCAGTTAGACAGTCTGTGATCAGATGTCTCGAGGCTCACAAACCCTGCATGCCACCACAAGGGCTGTAGCACCTTACAAGCAGCAATCTCTTGGTGTATGCATGCTCTGCAACCAGTAGAGCAACGCCTGTTCTGGGTTTTCAGGGCATCTTGAAAACCAACACAGGGAGCACTACACATACGGTTTCAGCAGCACCTTGCATTCTTGCTTATGGCTGCTGTCTTCCCGAAGCATGTCTGAGAATGACTAGTCCCCGTGTTTCCCACCTCGGCTGGCACAAATGCTCACGTGTCACTCACTGTGAGGAAACGCCTCTGTGGGCCCTGGGAATGAAATAGTAACAAGAAGAGTATACTAAGGAAGGAAGCACCTTAGCTCTTCTTCAGTGTGAGCAAGGGCGTGGCAGTACTAGCTAGGAACAGGTCCAAGGCTAGAAATCACCCCCGTCAGCTCAGTGCCAGTCTTGCTGAGATTTTTCTGTTTTTTTTTTTTTTTTGGGTCCGGTCATGGGGCCTGAACTCAGGGCCTGGGCGCTGTCCCTCAGCTCAAGGCTAGCACTCTACCACTTGAGCCACAGCACCACTTCTGGCTTTTTTCTTTTTGCTAATGTGGTGCTGAGGAATTGAACCCAGGGCCTCATGCATGCAAGGCAAGTGCTCTACCACTGAGCCACCTTCCCAGCCCCTTGCTGAGATTTTTCTGACCACAGACTCACTCACAGCGATGAAATGGCCTCAGTGTCATGGCACCACAATGCAGGAGATGTGAGCCTCCTGCTAAGGGTGGGCACACACTTTTTCTGTAAAGGGTCAGAGTAAATACTTCTGGCTTTGTAGGCCACATGGTCTGTCATACCAACAGCTTTGTCACTAGGGAGTGAGCATGGCTAGACTGTACCAGTGCCGACCTGGGAAAAAGGCAGAGCAGAAGTCTGGTTTTTCCTTTATACCTGGGTCTAAACACCTAGAAGAAATGAAGTTATTATTATTATTATTATTTTTTTGGTACTTAGTCCTGGGACTTGAATTCAGGGCTTGGGTTCTAACCCTGAGCTCTTATTGCTCAAGGCTAGTGCTCTACCCACTTTGAGCCATAGTACCATTTCCAAGTTATCTGGTGGTTAACTAGAGGTAAGAATCTCATGAACTTTCCTGCCCGGGCTGGCTTTGAACTGTGATCCTCAGATCTCAGCTTCCTGAGTAGCTGGGATTACAGGCGTGAGCCGCTGCGCCTGGGTCAAAAGTGAAGTTCTTTAGTTAAAAATATGTGTTTGTGAGCCAGGTGCCAGTGGCTCACGCCTGTAATCCTAGCTACTCAGGAGGCTGAGGATCTGAGGATCTCGGTTCAAAGCCAGCCCAGGCAGGAAAGTCTATGAGACTCTTATCTCCAATAAACCAGCAGAAAACCAGAAGTGGTGCTGTGGCTCAAGTGGTAGAGCTCTAGCCTTGAGCAGAAGAGCTCAGGCACCGTGCCCAGGCCCAGGCCGACAAAAAAAAAAAGTGTTTGCACCTGGTGCAAGCTCCAATTCTGGACACACACACAAAAGTTTTGGCTCAATTAATATACATTAAAATATAAACTTAACTATAATATAAATAATAAAAATAAAAACAAAACAAAACAAAAAAGCCAGGTGCTGGTGGATCACGCCTGTAATCCTAATCAAGAAGCTGAGATCTCAGGATCATGGTTCAAAGCCAGCCCGGACAGTAAAGTGCTTGAGACTCTTATCTCCAATAAACTACTCAGAAAATGCCAGAAGTGGCACTGTGAGTCAAGTGGTAGAGCACTAGCCTTGAGCACAAAGAGGCTCAGGGACAATGTCCAGACCTGAGTTCAAGCACCAGGACTGGGAGGAAAAAAAAAAGTAGAAGAGGGACTACATCCAGTGCTGAATGGAGAGGGTAAATGAACCCAGGGCAAAATGGCTGAAGGCTGCATGTATGAAAATAGAATAAAACAGTCTGAAACTTTTAAGAAGCAAGGAGGAAGAGCTAAGGGAGAGTGACAGAACAGGATACATTGTATGCATACAGGGAAATGTTACCAAAAACCTCTGTACAACCTGTTTGCTAGTAAAAAAAAACAACTACTTACCTACCTATAAACAGAAAATAACAATGTAGTGCATGCCTATAAATTCTAGGTTTCTTGTCAAAGAGCCAGAGGGGCTGAGTGGATGCAGAGAGGTAAGTGTCTGATGGTGAGATCCATGTCTGCCTGTGCACTCCTGGGTGTGGGCCCTGCCTAGGATCACTTTGCAGTTTTAGGCCAACCCTTTTTGGATCCCAAGTACAGTGGGGGAAAAGTAGAAGATCCAAAGTACTCATAGTGGTCTCTGAAACAGGCATTTCAGAAACAGCCATTTTCCTGTTGGTGGAGGAGGGATAGACCAGTGTGTCCTAGTTCTCACTTAGACCTGCTCAGTAGTCAGTGGACCCCAGGCACCCCTGCCCAGGCCGCCCCACCTTACCAGAGCTTGGATCTTCTTGACTTTGGACTCCATCACTCCATTGTGCTCTAAGAAAGTTGACATCTCTTTTATTTTCTTCCTTTTTTTCAGCATGGCTGTTTTCTGACTGGACAGGCTGTGGAGGATGAGGCTGCTGCATTCTGCCTTTTTCTTCTGTGGCCCCTTGAACTGAGGTGGGGGGACCTGGCCATCTTCTCCCTGCCCTGGGCTGGCCTTCTGCATGGAAGGCCAGGACACATTGGGCAGGCCTGTGCCGTTGACAGGGAGTGCTCCAAGTTTACGCTTCCTTTTCAGAACCTGGGTGCCATTTTTCAGGGCGCCTTGGGCAGCAGGACTCTGAAGCTTACAGCTTGGGCCACCCTCAGAGCTCGGAGATGTGCCCTCCACAGGTGAGGCAGTGGGTTCGCAGGCCTCTCTGTGAAGAGCCCGCAGGCTCTTCTTCTTTGGTCGCTTCCTCTTACTGTGCGTGGGGGTGGTGTGGAGAGGCTCTGAACCACTCTCATCCTGGGTGAGGGATGCAGCCTCTGCTCCAGGCTCATCCTCGCAGGCCTGCAGAGTTTGCTTCTTGGGGGCCTCAGCCAGGCTGTCCATGCTCAGTGCTAGAGGAGCAGCAGCAACCGTGAGGCCTTTTGTCTCCGGCTGGAAATGGTTCTTTTTCTTCTTTTTTCTTCTTCTCTTCTGAGTGCTGCCTTCATTGTCCTCTTCCTGGCTTTCTATAAAGACACGCAGACCAATTAGCACCCCCAGGGCCGGGGGACAGCCTTGCTGGCAGCCTAGGTGCTGTGAATTTCCTTCTCTGTTGAGGCAAGCGCACTACCACAAACCATATGTGAGGCTCACTTTCTCAGACCTTTCTGATGCTCTTGGTGCCAGCTTTGTGAGCTGGTTGTTTCCCCCTTCCACCTGTGCTGGAAACTATCCTCAAGTCCTTCTCAGTAGAAGCAGGACTGAAGCAGTCACATTATTAGTAGGTTTTTTTGTGTGTGTGCTGGTCCTGGGGCTTGAACTTAGGGCCTGAGCTTTTGTGCAAGGAAGTGGAACTATAGGTCCACTTTTTAGTTATTAGTTGAAAACAAGAGTCTCATGGACTTTCCTACCTGGGCTGGCTTTGAGCTACAATCCTCAGCCTCCTGAGTAGCTAGGATTAGAGGTATGAGCCACTGGTGTCCAGTTCAGGTTTCTAATAATTTTGAGGGCCAGAAGGTAACGCTATTATAGATCATGAACTGTGGACATGGCTCAAGTGGGAAAGTGTTTGCTTAGCAAGCACACGGTCCTGCATTCAATACTTCATATGTGGAGGTAAAAAGAAGGCACAAATCCAGAGCCCCTGATCCAAAGGTAGGATGTAACCTAGTGGTAGAGCTCAAACTTAGCACGTACAGGTTCCTGGGCTCCATCTCCTTCATCCAATATACAAAGTCAGATAGGAAAAAAAGGAGAAGGTAACAGGGATGAACACATGAATAATGTACATATGAAAGTAGTATACTGAAACCCACTACAAGCTGTAAAAAAAAAAATAGGGAGGTTCACAGAAGGGGAAAACAAGAGATGAAGTTTTGTTTTTGTTGGTCATGGGGCCTGGGCACTGTTCCTGAGCTCTGTTTTTCTCAAGAATATCACTTTACCACTTTAAGCCACAGCCCTACTTCTGTTTTTTTTTTTTGTTTCTTTTTTGGTTGTGGAGCTTGAACTCTGGGCCTGGGAGCTGTCCTTCAGCTCTTCAGCTCAAGGCTAGCACTCTACCACCTGAGCCACAGTGCCAATTCTGGCCTTCTCTGCATATGTGGTGCTGCGGAATTGAACCCAGGGCCTCATGCATGCAAGGCAAGCACTCTACCACTGAGCCACCTTCCCAGCCCTACTTCTGGTTTTCTGGTGGTTAATCAGAGATAAGACTCTCACAGACTTTTCTGCCTGGGTTGGCTTAGAACAGTGATCCTCAATCTCAACCTCCTAAGTATCTAGGATTACAGGCGTGAGCAATCAAAGCCTGGCTGAAGAGGAAATTTTGACATACAGTGCAGTACACATGAAAACACACCAAGAACCACGTGGTGTCTCACACTAGCTATTCAGCAAGTTGAAATATCAATGACAGCCAGGAAGACAAATCTGAGGGGCTCCTATTTCCTATTAGCCAGCAAAAAGCAGGAACTGGAGGCATGCCTCAAATGGTAGAGCACCAGCCTTGAATGAAAAAACCAAGTGAAAGAGGCCTTGAGTTCAATCCCAGTATAACCTTCCTCCCAAAGAATAACAAGCCTTAACAAACTTTAATGAAAGAAAGGTGTTACTCAATAAGGGGCTAAGGGGTGGGGAAGAGAAACAGGTTATGTTGAGCATGGGTACCAGTGGGAGGCAGCTGGGCTGAGGAAGGTAAATGAAGATGAACAGAGGAAATCTGTTTAGAGAATTGGAGGGGCTGGGAAGGTGGCTCAGTAGTAGAGCGCTTGCCTTGCATGCCTGAGGCCCTGGATTCAATTCCTCAGCACCACATAAGCAAAAAGAAAAAGCCGGAAGAGGCGCTGTGGCTCAAGTGGTAGAGCGCTGGCCTTGAGCTGAAGAGCTGAGGGACAGCGCCCAGGCCCAGAGTTCAGGCCCCACAACTGTACCCCCCCCAAAAAAAGAGAGAGAATTGGAATGCCATTCTCTGACTCTCAGAAAGCTGGGAGTGGCCGGAGAAAGAGCAATGGTTCCCAGCATTAAGAGACCCAAGATTCTACCCTAAATGTGAGTTCATCAGAGCCCAAACTTCCCTGGACCTTGGAGTTCAAAGTTTATGCAAATTGTAGTTGTTTGCTGCTTGCCTCAACTTTCTGAGATAAGGAAGTCATTCATCCTAGGATTGTTTCACATGCTGGTATCTGTAACTTCAAAGAGATTGCTACCTGTCCCAAAATCAATAAAGTTCCTGTTAAGGGGACCTTGGGGCTTCTGTGGCTGGTGAGAGGTACAGGCCCCCTGATGCCCCAAACCAGTTTCATGGTCTGGTTTCCATCACTGCCTTGCTACTGGTTGCGGCAGGTCAAGGTGCTTGCGGTGGCTTCCTACAGTTCACATGTATGAGACTAGAATAATGAACCTGTTGAAAATTTTTATTTATTTATTTATTTTTTCTTTGTTGTGGGGCTTGAACTCTGGGCCTGGTGCTGTCCCTCAGCTCTTCAGCTCAAGACTAGTGCTCTACCACTTGAGCCACACTCCACTTCTGGCTTTTTCTGCTTATGTGGTGCTGAGGCATCGAACCCAAGGCCTCATGCATGCGAGACAAGCGCTCTACCACTGAGCCACCTTCCCAGCCCCTTGAAATTGTTTTATGAAGGGAGAAGGGCAAGTAAAAGAGCAAACATGATTGGAATTAATTCTATACATGAACAGAAATGTTACAATGAAATCCCTCCTGGTCTAATATATGTTAATACAACCAAAAACACAAAACAATGAGGAAGGAGAGAGGAGGAATATGAAAAGGTTAATAGGAGGGTAAATCTGATCAAAGCATATTATATACATGTATAAGAAATCACGACAAGCCGGGCACTGGTGGCTCATGCCTGTAATCCTAGCTACTCAGGAGGCTGAGATCTGAGGATCGCGGTTTAAAGCCAGCCCGGGCAGGAAAGACCGTGAGACTCCTATCTCCAATAAACCATCAGAAAACCGGAAGTGGCGCTGTAGCTCAAGTGGTAGAGCGCTCGCCTTGAGCTGAAGAGCTGAGGGACAGTGCCCAG